GCCGCGAGCGAGGAAAGCAGAGCGGGCGGCCATGGCGAGCCTTGGCGCCGTCGCCGGCCCCCTCACCGGCGCGCGTGCTCCCCAACGGGTGAGCACGCCGCCGTCGAGCGGCCTGGCCACGGCGCTTCCTTGGCCGAGCACGGTGAGCCCGCGCCCCCGGGTCGGCTTCTTCTCCCGTGCCGGCGAAAAGGTTCATCCGACGCACCCTAACCCTAACGCGTTTTCCCCTTTCTGATTTTGAGTTTGTTCTTTTCGGGTTTATCCAAATGGGAAAAACTAGGGTTAGGGTTAGGGTTCGTTCTTGCCGATTCGATTTCTTTGCTTTCGTTTCTTTCTTTTTCGTTCATCCGAATGGAAAACTGGGATTAGGGTTAGGGTTTGACCCTTCTTTCTTTCTTCTTCCCCTTTTCTCTCTTTTGGATTTGCGTCTAGGGTTCTCGGAATCCAACCCTCCCCTTTTCCCTTGTTCCGATTTGATTTGGGAAATTAGGGTTAGGTCTTAGGGTTCGGTTTTCTATTTTCTTTTCCGATCCGCATCAGATCGGTCGGTTTCACTTCCCCGATCTGATTTCTTGTCGAACCGTGGCTCCGGTACCATTGTTAGAGTTCGTTTTTAGTCATGTTCATCGGATCGGGATGTATTGGTAGTATGAATAGGTGTTCGGGATCTCAGAGAGACAGAGAGAAAGGGGGTGATAGGTTGCAAACCATCAAAAGCCGTAGTGGTCGAAGCTCCGGCCGGGGTTTCGTTGACGGACGCCATCTGCGCGCCGGCAGCGACGTTCGGTGGAGAGGAAGTCGGCGCTGTGGCGTCCTCGGCGGCGACGTGTGTGTTGGGGTGGCGTTGCCGGTGTCGGTGGTGCTTCCCGTCGCTGGCAGCGCCCCTTCTCAAGATCGGGTCTAGGGTTAGGATGTCGGTGGGGTGAATGGCGGCGCGGTGAACCTCGTACTACGAGCCCCGGCCCTCACCTTTCCTTTATAGCGCTGTGCGACGGGGGCCCACCAACCATGTAGGGTTGGGCGCCCCCGATCAGGGCGCGAGAACAAGGCCCAAAAGGCCGTTGGGCCTAACTGGTGGGAGATCAAACCTAACAGAGATCAGTGAGCTGCTCAAATCCCGGACTTGGCCACGGACTTGCATCAAAGTTGTTGTATGCAAGGCTAAGGAAGCGAAGCGAGGTAAGGTTAAAGATGTCTGGTGAGCTGAGGTTACCCGAGATGCAGAGATGGGAGAGGTCGAGAGCAGCGATGTAGCCCGACGTGCCGTCACATGTTACGCGTTCCCAAGTGCAGCAGTTGGTGTCTGCCTTCCACGACGAAAGAGGGCTCCGGACCCATCCACAATAGTATGAAGCTGAGTTGTTGTCGAAGCGCAAGCTGGCTTTGAGGCTGGGCAGCGCTTTGATCTTGCCGGCATAGGCTCGCTCCATGCCCGCTAGTAGCGGGGATGGCGGTAACTAAGGTAGCGTTTGGTTGGGAGTCAAGGTGGGGTGGAATGGTCCCATCTCTGTTTTCTGGGGCGGGATGGAGACAGGACCACTCTATTTTCTGTTTGGTTGAGAAGGGACGGGATGGATCCATTTTGTGTTTGGTTGAAAGGATAAATAGGAATAGGATGGATGAGAAATTTGACGCCGTTAGCTACTGTTGTAGTGGGACCCACCACGACCATGTGTAAATCTTTTTTCCTTTTACTATATATATGTCAGTCTCATTTCTCCTCTTTTATTATACATAATAAATCAGCACCGTGCCTGGTGCTGCTGGTCGTAGTTCGGCTGTGGAGGTCGCTGCTCGTGCTCGTAGTTCGGAGCTCGCTGCTCGTTCTTCGAAGGTCGCTGCCGGTGCTCGGAGGTCGCTGCCCGTAGTTCGGCTGCGCCGCGCCACCTGGAAAAGGCAGCTGCGAGCTCAAGCGCGGGGAAGACGAGGCAGCCAGATCTCACGAGGAAGAAGACGGCCGGATCCGCGAAGCTCTGGGGCCGCGCCGGGTGTCGCGTCGCGCAGGAGGTCCTCAAGTTGGGGCCGCGCCGCGCTGGGGCGGAGCTCGCCCACGCTGGATCTCGGTAGCGGCGGATGGCCGGCGCGCGGATCTCACTGCTCGGCTTCGCTTGACCGGCGCCGGAGAAGGAAGAATGACATCGGAGGAGAGAGAAATCGTTGCAGGATGAAGACGATGCTCACGCCATCGCAGTGGGACGCCCCCGTCCGCGCTTTTTTCTGGGGCGAGCTCGCCCCCGGTTTGTGCAAATATGCCAGGTATATTCTTTAGTGGGATGTCCCGGTGCTTCTTCGACTCCCAACCAAACATGTCAAAAGTGGGCTCGTCCTATTCCCATCCCACTCCGTCCCTCAAACCAAACAGACGGTAAGAGAAGGTAGCTGGGAATAGGATGGCAGCGAAACATGGTGGCTTAAAGCTAGCGGTGGCTTTGTTTTGTGTAGAGATGGTGCTTGGTGCTGATGACTGTGCGAGAGCAAGGTTTGGCAGCAACCTTGTTTAAATAGGCTATGGATGGATGACGCAACGCGAGCGAGGACCAAGACTTCAAAGAAGTCATCGGTGTGAGACCATTAGTTCCGCGTAACAATTACTCCTATAATTAGCGTGTTACGATTTGCAGTAGTTACGAAAACATTCCCGATAAAATGTGAATCAATTGAACACGCAATTTCAGGTCTGCTCGGCACAACTCCAGACACATTCAGATTGGATCAGAAGATTGTCGAACAAATTAAAGATTTATATCTAGTCCAAAGTATTAATAATGAACTACTCTTAATGCTCTCCAGCTCTAGACAAAAAAAAATCTTTAAGCAACGAATATCCAACTCAAAATTTATAGGGCTCTTCCAAACAAGACCTTATTGTTTTAATAAAATCTTATGCAGAAACAAAACATTATGTTAATACTTGTGCATGCACCTTTTGTGTATGATCTGGTCAAGATATCCTGTCAGCAGATATCTGGTCAGCAGACAAAAAATTTCTTTAAGCTACGAATATCCACTTCTCGGTTCAGCCCCCAAAATTGGGCAACAGACGTCTCGGCGAGTGACGGCTTAGTCAAGTCAACGAAATAATTCAGTACAGGTTGAATGGCTCACATGCTACAGAGACTTCTCTGCCCTATTCTACACGTTACACTGACATCTTGATGTACATTTCCATCTCTACTAGCTCAGCGGTTATTTTAGGAATCTTTTGGGTTTCTTAGCACCACGATTTTCGACCAAAACCATGTGACAAATAAAGTGCAACTCTTAATCGTCTGCTATGAAGAGTGATGTTTGGTTCGTTATGGAACTTTAGCACACAATCCTCGCAGAATAAAAAAGAAGAAAAATCTTTGGCACATATATCTTATGTGATTTTAACTTTAAAAAAAAGGTACAGGGGGAATCACTGCACACTCACTGTGGAGATGCTTTTCATATATATAGCCATCACTACAGTAGGTAAGCCGAGTGCAAGAGGGTTTGCCGAGTCCAATCCATCGGACACTCGACAAACAAACTCTTTGCTGAGTGCTGCAAAAAAAACACTCGGCAAAATAATTGCACTCGGCAAACAAGGCAAAAAACACTCGGCAAAGTTCGACATTCGGCAAACTAGAAAAAAAACACTCGGCAAAACTAGGCACTCGGCAAAGAAATATGTTTGCCGAGTGTAATTGTCTGGTACTCGGCAAAGAAATATGTTTGCCGAGTGTAATTATTTGGCACTCGGCAAATAATTTCATTTTTTTCTCTTCTAACCTTGAAACACGTTGTGGAAAAGAAGAAAAAAAAAAAAAAAGTGTTTGCCGAGTGCCCCCGATCTGACACTCGGCAAAGATGGCTTTGCTGAGTGTCCCGATCTGGCACTCGGCAAACTCACGACCTTATAAACTCGCCCGGCAGCCCCGCCTCCTTCCCACGGGCCTCCCCTCCCTCTCCCGGCGCCGCCGCCCCCTCCCCTCCCTCCCTCTCCCAACACCGCCGCCCCCCTCCTCCCTCTGTCTCCCGCCCACGCCCCTCCCTCTCCCGCCGGTGCCACCCCCCTCCCATCCCTCTCCCAGCGCCCCCTCTCTCCCTCTCCCGGCGCCGCCCCTCCCCTCCTCTCACGGTGGGCGTGGCCAGCGCGACCACGGCTAGGGGCAGCCAAGCGCGGCCGGCGGGTGGATCTGCACGGTGGCAGAGGAGACGCGCGGCGAGGCCTAGCTCACGGGCGGCAGCACGCCCTCCTCCCACATCGCGACGCGCACGTCGGAGTCGGCATCGACTAGGAGCAGGCCTGCTCCGAACCCTATGGCGAGCGCGCATGTCTGCTCCGGGACGGAGCCGCAGCCATCACCAGGAAGCCAACCCGCCTCGACGTCAGCAGCCCTCGTCGCGCCTGGAGATCCATAGCCGCGCCATCATCTCCTCCCTATTCTCTTCTTCGAGTCCCTAAATTAACTAAAGTTTAGCTGAGTTAGCTGTTTCAACCCAGCTAAACCAAGCTAAAGCTTAGCTGACTCTATTAGCTGGAGGATCCAAACATCTCGGCTAAAGTTTAGCCCGGAGAACTTTTAGCTAGGTAAAGTTTAACTTAAAATTTAGATGAGTGGACCAAACAGAGCCAGATCTATGGGAAATTGGAACAGGCAGCACTATACTGCAAGGAAGGTAAAATGTATGCATGAACAAAGAGGAAATGGAATTAAGAAATCCCAGAGCGTACAACTGAATCTCTGTTGATACAGACAACTAAGTGATACGAACTCAGGCTAATATCGCCCTGTTTGTTTGGCTGGTTTGGCTTAAAAATCTTGGCTAAAAATATTGTTAGCTGGTTTAATGTAAGAAAAAAATATTATTTATCGACTAATAAACCATGGTTTATAAACCAAATACGATCGAGCGAACCACCCCGTATATACAAGCTAATGGCAAACTGAAATAACGCAGATTATAGGGAACCTACATCAGCAGCCAGCAGCTAGCAAATCAGTCATCTCTATACGCTATTAGAAGTTAGATTAAGCGTCGTCACCGCCTCGTCTCCATCCGCGGCCGCTGTGGTAAGCGTAGTTGTCCCGGCGGCTGTTCCTGAAGGCGCAGCAGCCGACGGAGTAAACGATGACGACGAAGGCGAGGATGACAACGTTAACAATGGCAGCCCGCTTCCAGTCCCGCTTGAGCGCGTCCACCACGCCGGCCTTGCACGACTGGCACCCGTAGCAGAGGTCGTCCTCGTCGTTGCTCCACGCGCCGCAGTCCGAGTCGGCGGAGCCTGCCCCTGCCGCCGCCTTCGTCTTGGTCCACTCCGTGCCGCCGGCGTACGTGAAGTTGCAGCTCGCGGGCGGCTTGCAGCACCCGGACTCGACCGGGGACAGGCCGAGCCGCGCCAGACCCGCCGCCGCGTCCTTGTCCTTGCTCTCCTCCTCCAGGAGGCGCCGGCAGACGTGCGCGTCGGCGAGGCAGCTCCGGATCCTGGCCCAGGTCCTGCGGCCCTCGACGTGGCGCCGCAGCCAGGTGGAGTAGTCCCCGAGGCGGTACTCTTTGTACCCGGCGCCCGACACGGCCTCCCCGGCGCCCTTGTCGGTGACGACGAAGGCGAAGACGGTGAAGCAGAGCAGCGCAACGATGAAGGCCAGCATGGCGAGAAGGTAGAGCCACAGCAGCCAGGTGGCGCGGCAGCAGGCGCCGGCGAGGCCCGCGAGGGAGACGGCCATGAGCGCCGTCCCCAGCGCGATGGCCGGGGTGGACAGGAAGTGGTCGCACTCGGTGCCGTCGGCGCGCGACCGCAGCCAGACGCCCGCGACGATGATGGGCACCGAGAGCAGCAACATAACCAGGGTCACCGCGCGGATCACGTTGTTGCTCATCCGGATCGCCATGGCGAGGCGAGGCGAGGCGCGGCCCAGCCGGCCGCCGTGTCGTGCTGCTCGACTGCTGGTGGCTGGCACTGCTGCAGTGTTGCGGTGCGGGGAAGAGGGTCTCGTGGAGTCGTGGTCTATCCGGTGGTTTGGTTGTGCGGGCCGGGGGCGTATTTGTATCGTGGTGGTGCCGCAGCACAAGTCATGTTACAGTATTTTTCTCTTAATAAATCAGTCATATAAATTAGCATAAGCGGTTTTACGAGCAGCCGAACGTAGCCACGAAGCTTTTCCTGACAAATCATGTATTGCTGCTTGAAGATGATGATGTGTTTATTTTAAAGGGGACATTCTGAGAAAAAAATAAGTAAATGCATAGAAATAGAAAATGAAGTACCAAGTCTTCTTTCTGGTTCATATATTGCGATTTATTAAGCTATTACGAATTGTATCCGGTCACCAACCAAATAGAATAGAATTATATATGTACCAACTTTCTGATATGCAACTATTTTGCACACAATATCTTAAATTCTTAGGGCACATTTTGATGGGGACAACAACCTCCTAGAATCCACAAGCAAGTCGTAAGACTATCTCCAACCGTCCGACCCAAATACAAGACCCATTTTATGAATTGGGTCACGAACAGTCGCCGGATCAGCGACCCAAATTTTCTTTTCTCCAACAGCCGAACCCAAACTTTCGTCCACAGGAACAAAATATCTACCGGCTCTCTCCCTCTCTCCACCTGCGCTCGCCACCGCTCCCTCTCCAGGCTCCCAGATTCGGCGAGGAGGCCGGCTGCCCGCCACCACCAGCACCACTCCGTCTCCCGGTGCCACCACCAGCACCACTCCATCTCCCGGCGCCCAGATCCGGCGAGGAGGCCGGCCGCCGCGCTCGGATCCGGCCAGTAGGAGGCGCTCCCTCTCCTCCTCCGGCAGTGCGCCTCTCTCTCTCTCTCTCCACCGGCTCCCCGCGGTGCTCGCCCGCCGGCGCTCCGGTGCGGCCAGGGCCTCGGCGGTGTCCGCAGCTGCGACCGGGCCTCCGCGGTGCCCGCCCCCCGGCACAGGCGCGGGAGCCCCTTCCTCGGCCGGCGGCGCTAGGGCGAGCGCGCCCCCTGGCAGCGGCCCTGGGCGAGCGCCCCGCCACGGTCCTCGGCGTCATCTCGTCCGCGGGCCCACCACGACGGGCGCAAGATTTTTGCGTCGTCTCTCCTCGACGACGCTTATTTGCCTTCCGCGTCGCCTCCGACGCAAAATGAGTGTTGTGTTTGCGTACTCGGTTGGAGGCTGTTTTTTACCGCTTATCCACCGTGCACGACGCATTTTTGGGGATGGGTTGCATGATTGGAGACGGTCTAAGCCAAATTTCAACGACACTTGGGCCTTGTTTTAGATTGGGGTTAGGAATCAGTATTTGGCACTGTAATATTTTCGTTTGTATTTGACAATTAATGTCAAATCATGGCCTAACTAGGCTCAAAAGATTCATCTCGTAATTTACGATCAAACTATGTAATTAGTTATTTTTTTTATCTATATTTAATACTCCATGCATGTGTCCAAAGATTTGATATGATGGAGAGAGAGTGAAAAAACTTGCGATCTAAAAGAGGCCTTGAAATCACCTTTCGTTTTCGGGCATCACACTATGGCGTTGCGTGTGCAGGACGTTCCAAGCATGCATAGCATTGGCTGGAGGTGCGGACGCGCGTGTAGCGCAGTGGCAGAGCTCCGGTGGTTGGAGCTGGCGGGCCGGGGTTCGAACCCCGGTTCTGCACCGCTTGCTTGGTGCAAGCAAGTAATTTCCAAGCATGTGCCTCGTGTGATGTCATAATAGGATCGTGACGTGTCCGTCACCTATGAAATTAGAGAGGAGATCTCACGAAGGACGTCTGAGTGTAGGTTTATTTGAACACAGATAGTGTGTATAGTGTGTGTTGAGTGGAGCTGTACCAGACGAGAGGCAATAAAAAAACATTGGGCGGAGGTCGTTGCGAGGCTCTGTCACACTGTACCTGGATTCCTGCAGCAGAAGAAGAAGCATGCCGGCCGGCCCCAATAAACGTGCACGCCAACTCGCCAAAGTGTGTCGGTGTTCGGTGGCCCGACTCGTGTAGTACGATAGAAGGGGGCGAAGAAATAGGAGAGAAACTTTAGGGTTTTGTGGTCCAGAAGGCGACCCAAGTCTTGGGAGCCATGACAGGGTTGTTCGGCTGCTATATAAGGCTGATTTAATAGTGTTATGTGAAGAAGAATAAGCTGAAATAGGCTGACTCAGCTCTATTCAATGATTACCGTTCGTCCCAAACTAGATACACATCACGAATTTTAAGGTGACGATTTTTTAAGTTTAACTAAAAATATAGAAAATAGTATTAATATTTATATATATAAATAAATTTATTATAAAAGTATACTTCATGCTCAATCTAATAATGTTTATTATACATCATAATTATTAGTATACTCCCTCCTTTCCAAAAGTATGACGTTATGGGATGCGTGTCAGTTAAACTTTCTGATATTTGACTAATTTTATAGAAACATTAACAATATTTGTATCACTAGATAAATTTTATTATAGAAATATATTCCGCGATCTACTTAATGTATGTATTATAAATAATATCATTCCTTCATATGTAATTGGTCAAATGTAATTTGTCAAAGTTAAAAATATTTAACTTCTTGAAAAGCAAGAATAACATTTTTCTTGGGAGGATATACAAATTTAGTTAAAATTTTGAAATTAACTTCAGAAGGCAACCCAAGTCTTGGGAGATGATGAAGACTTGTACGATTTGTGTTAAAAAAAAGAACGAATGGGTCCAGATCGCTACAGTGTTTTGCTTGGTGCTGCAGGGGTTTAATTTTTTACTATTTGACCTTTTTTAAATAAAATTTATATTTGGCTCTCTGAAAGACTTAAACTCATCTTTAGACCCTAGGGTTGGCGCCATGAGTCCTGGCGTCGAGGTAACACGTCTCGGCGCCACAGATCTTGGTGCTGAGGTGCCTAGCCGTGAACAGAAAAAAAATCCTATGTGGCTGGTACCTCGACTCCAGAATACATAACGACAAGTTTGACGCCACAGATTTTGACGCCACAGATCTTGGCGCCAACACCGAGCCACTGGCGTGTTGACGGCGCGCGCGACGAGGCGGACAAGGCTGGCGCTTGCCTGCTCACTGCGCTCAGCTTGGCGCAACCTGTGGCGTCGGGTGCTTGCACATTTGCCCAGGCTGTGGGTCCTGCCACTAGCGCGTGCTTCCTCACGCAATCCACAGCAAGGCCACGAAACAGCCAGAGCTACCACGCCGTACCTCGCCTCGCCATCGTCCGCGCTTCCGCGCGCTAGGCTCGCTCCTCGCCGTGTCCACGTCTTGCCGCCGCGCCCGCGTCTGGCGCCTCCTCGCCGCGCCGGCGTTCTGCTCACTACTACAAAAACGATTTTGCGCAGCGTTCCACTTTTGCACTCCGTGGCGGGCTCCTATTTTTGCCCGCTGCGGTAAATCCCACGATTTACCGCGGCGGACATTTTTTATTTACCGTGGCGAGCATTTTTGCCCGTCGCGGTAAATCGATTTACCGTGGCGGACGCCTAAGACGTCCGCCTCGAAAAATGTCGTATTTTCCGAGGCGGACGTCTTAGGACGTCCGCAACGGTAAATGAATTTACCGTGGCGGGCATCCTATGAGACCCGCCTCGGTTAAGGCCGTGGCCCAAAAGGCCCAACGAAGCCCGATAGCCGTCTTCACATATAAATACGTAGTCTTTAGGGTTTCACTCCCAGTCTTTCTTTACGCCTCCAAACTCCCTCCCACCGAAGACCGAACAAGTCCGCACTCCTTCCCTCTCCTTCCGTCGCACCTCTCCGTCGTCCTCGCCGCCTCCTCTCCTCCTCTCTCCTTCCGTCGCACCTCCTCCTCCCGTCGTCCTTCCCTCTCCTTCCGTCGGCAGGCGCGGTGGCGCCGACTCGGTGGCGCGCGCAGGCGCCCACAATGTTCATGCAGGGCCCAATGGCTGCGGGCGGGCGGCCTGGTCGCGTGTGGCGACGGTGGCGCTGGGGCGGCGCCAAGTCGCGCGTGGAGCCACGGCGATGAAGCGGAGGCGGCGGCGCGCGGTGCTGGCTGGCTGCCTGCCTCCTTCCCTTCTTCTCCCGATGTCGGCGAATCCACGGCCCAGATCCGGCGACGGCGGGCCGCCTCACCTCCCGCGACGGCGGGATCTGGGCGCAGCGGCAAGATCGAGGTAATGGCACCGCCGTATCCTCTACCTCACTCTCTTTCTCCATCTCTCCTAGCTCCTCTCCCTCGCTCCCTCTTTCCTTCCTCTCTCTCTTTCCATACAGGAGGTGGATCTCGGGAGGTAGAGGCTTGTCTTTGCCATCTCTCGGGCGGCGGTGGGCCGTGACTCTCCGATCACGGGGCCCAATCGATCCGGCGTGAAGAGGTGGAGGCAATCGGATCCGAGGGGCACGACGCGGACGATCACGAAGATCCGGTGGCACTAGGGTTGCGGGCTAGGATTGGACTCGCTGGCGGGCTCGGGATATGGGCTCGTCGATGGGCTTTGGGTTTTTTTCCCTCAGCTTTACCGTGGCGGACGTTCTAAAGTGCCCGCCGCTGCTAATAGATTTCTTCGGCGAACCTTTGGCGCCCGCCACATGTGGATTCACGATTTATCGTGACCTTCTCACCGCAAGGCGGACGCGCGTTTGCCGCCAAGGAAACCAAAATTGCCCGCTGCAGTTAAGCATTCTGTAGTAGTGGCTGCCGCCTCCTTGCTGCGTCCGCGTCCTGCCGCCACGCCCGGATCTCCTGCTGTCGCGAACTTCGCCATGCCGGCCCCCGCGAGCTCGACGCCGCTGCGCCACTGCCGCTCCACCTCCGCGAGGTCGGGCACAACCCTGCTCCGTCGCTCGCCTTCTCACCGTCTATAGCTCAGCTGCACGCCTGCACATGTGCACATCGGGAGAACGGAGATGGCTGCTCAGTCTTGGCTTCTTGGG